AAAAAAAAAAAAACACTTCAAAATATAAAAGGCCCCAGATATCAAAGGAAACTTTGACTGCCTGCTTGTGAGTGTAAATCAACTTAATGATGTGATAAAATTGCAGGCAGAAAGAATGCCAAATGTGACTAAATACTACCAGCAGACCAACATTTTGATTAATCAGACAATATTTGGTGAATGAGTTCTGTTTTTTTCGAAAAATGTTTTCATAAACTGAGTAAAATGTATTTTTTTTATTTTATATTTAAATATACATTACTGTTCACAAGTTTTTTTTAAAGTAATGTATTATTTTATTTAGCAACGATGCATTAAATTGACAGTAAAGACTAAATACAGTTTCAAATAAATACTGTTTTTTTTTACTTTCTATTCATCAAAGATTCCTGAAAAAATGTATCACAGTTTCTACAACAGTATTAAGCAGCACAACTGAAGCATCATGTGACACTGAAGACACTGGAGTAATTGGTGTTGTAAATTTAGCCATCACAGGAATAAATTACAATAACCTTTCACAATATTACTGTTTTCACTGTAATCAAATAAATGCAGCCTCTGTAACATAAGAGGCTTCTTTTAAAAACATAAAAAAAACTTACTGAACCCAAACACTTAAATGGCAGTGTACATTATTTATATAAAATATGGAAAACAGAAAAACATATTTAAAATATTTAAATATGTTTATTACATTATTTACACATTTAGTCCAATTATATATTTTAAAAAAGGAATGCTTTAAATAGTAAATCATAAGGTGTGCTAGGATGACAGGAAGTTATATCGTAAAGTACAGACTGCTGAGTGGAGAGGACGGCGGTCTCTGAGCTGAGTCATCCTCTCAGTCAGTCATGCTAATAAATGAGGATCTTTGCAGGCCGGTCTGTCATGGGCAACAGCTGTGTGAGGAACAGGGCAACAGCTGAAGCTAAGGAGTGGAACAGACACCGACACAGCTGTCACCACTATATCAATGAACACACACACAACTGCCCTCTCACTGAAACAACACACTGAGAAACTGCCATTTGTAGCACCTAGTCTCTCTGTCTATCCCTCTGCGCTTCAGAATATTTTTTCATTGAAAATGATTGTGCATCAGTCTTGTCACGAGCAGATAAAATCTTCACAGTGGTCGGTTATCTATCCAACCCTAACCAGGGCGTTACTCCCCCGACACCATCTTCAACCTCAGCAGATGAGGGACAGTGTGTTTACTCAATTACATGAGGAGGACGGGGATACAGCTACAGTGGCCTCAAAAAGGATATAGCCTTTTTGATGGGCATTTACACTGACCAAATATTAAAAAACAAAGTGGACAGCATAAAAGAATGTGTTATTTGTGAACGACTCCTAAGTATACTTCAGACAGACTAACAAACTCTTATAAAATGTATTGCTTTGTAGACTGTAGGTCAGTGATAAACCCAACAATATATTAAAGTAATATTTTTAAAGATGTACACTACCACTCAAAAGTTTGGAGGCAGAAAGGTTTTTTAAGGCTTTTAAGTCTCCTCACCAAGGCTGCATTTATTTGATCAAATTTACAGTAAAACAACAGTTAAACATGATTCAAATAAACAAATGATTCACAGCCCCATTAAAATATATCAATGTCAATGCATTAGATGACAAATAAATAACAAACTGGCACTTACTTTAGAAAATTTAGCAAATGCACACTTATTAGCACAAACAAAACATTTAAGCTTTCAAATGAAAAACGAATTATTAAACAAATATTGTTAAAAATTAGGACAACATTTTAAAAAAAATTTACTAGTAAAATTTAGTGGATTATGTCCATAGCTGTGTTTACTCTAATAGGACACCTCTGTGACATCACATATATACTAAAATGGCTTTGGGATTAATTAAATGGAATTACAAAAAGTAAAATGCAAGTAAAGTGATTTTTAACTTGCTTAAAAATATTTTGTTAGATGATCCATGCATTCATATCTTTTTAAGTGCGTCCAAATACTTCTGAGGGCCACTGTGTGACTGACTGGTGAGCGTGTGGCATGGAGAGAATGTGTGTGTGTGTGTGTGTGTGGGATCAGAGAGGCAGACTGGTGCTCTACCTGCCCTTCCTGTGGGGCCGCTGGCCGTCACCACTGTACCTGCTGTGCCAGCGCCCGCCTGAGCCGTCAGAGGAGAGGGAGAGCCCACTGGAGTGGAGGGGTTTGAGGGGAAACTACTGCTGGTGTGGTCAGGAGAATAAATCTGCAAATGAGAGTGAGAGAAAGAGAGAGATCAGTCAGTGAGGAAGCACACTCAACCTTTAAAACCTGCAACCTGTCGTTTCCCTCTTAGCATCCCTCAGTCTGTGCTCAGCCAAAATTGGCTCATCAATTCTGCTGATTTTACAAGGGGAGCAGCAGTAAAAAAATGCTCACAGCATACATATGGGCTTTTAACAGCCTACGCCGCCCTTTACAGTGTGTGTAGAAAAATACACAAACCCCTCCTGCACTCTAAATGCTGTGTGACACCTGCACTCCAGCCAGCGTTCCCTGGCTCTCTGACACATCTGTGGTTGTTATATTAAGTCAAAGCCTGGGCCCACGCCACACACCCGCTGCATGTTGCACATCACAAGTGAAACCACATGAGCACAAAAGATCAGAAACCCTGCAAGAGAGCAGGAAAAAGGCTAAACAAACTGGTGGTAATAATTCACATTAGGGGTTGGCGACATGTCCAAATCTTACATTACGGTGACAGTATTGCGATATCAAATGTTTTATAAGACATTGTAGTAATGTCTGCTTTATTATTTAATTTATTTATAACAGGGTTGTGATCGTACCAAAAGACAACATTATTCTGAAATGAATTCAGTCATTAAAAAAAAAAAACTGAAATAATACTTCACGTGTTGTTACACCTCAGTAACACATTATAAACATGAATACACAAGCCACTGTAAAATATGCTCAAATTCTGTTTACATGGCCTCCATAACGTCACTTCTAATACATGATAGAGAGGAGATGGAATAGAGAAAAGCAGCTGGATGATGCAGAGAAAGAGAGAAAAGACACGGTCATTAATCTCTCTTTTTGGAGCTCATTAGAGTGAATGAGTCTGGCCCGTGGCTGTGTGGATGGGCGTCTCTGGCTCATCTTCCGTTATGGATGAGAGGTAATAAAGCCTCTCCCTGTCTGCCCAATAAACAGCGACCGAAACAGGCACAGCCAGGCCCACACCATAATAAACAAAAAGATGCCATGAAGAAGAAAGGACTCCAGCCTCTGCCTCGTAGTGCAGCACTGTTGACTGGCTTTTTCCACCTTACCGGTGTTGTTTGCGTGAGAAACCCATCTCCACAAAAATTCTGTCTTCGAAACTAGAAAAGGGATTTTTTTGGTTAAGCCAAATGTCAGATGAAACTAAACATCCCTGCCATGCTCTGCATTCAGCTAAAATGGTTTTCACTCCCATAATGGAAACCACTATGAAACATTCAGGTTTTGATCCCAATTATCTGGCAGGATTTGAGAAAACAGCTCTAAAGTTGCGGGCCATCACTTGCAGGGGATCATGAAGTCCATTTGACTTAAAAACACATCAAAATGCAGATACTATCATTATTAATCTTCTTATTAAACCCTGAATGCCACACTTTTGTGTTTCAATCAACTCTGCAAATCCTGCCTGGGGCTTTAGTACATTCATCTCTCAGAGTAGACAGAGAGAGAGATAGAGGGGGCCAGTGATAGAGTGAGAGTGATATACAGAGAGATACAAAGAAAGAAATCCTCTGCAATATTAACAGCATTTTATATAGCATTTTTTCTTATTAATTGCGAATATATTACAAAAAAGCTGACTGTAAAAATGAACATGGATTTCTTAACATCTTAGTATTTGGTTTGTCTATCTTCCATTTAAAAAAGACAGAAGCACTTAAGCTGCATGAACTCCACAAGTTCATGGCGATCATGTTCTCCAGCATGATTTGAGATGATTCAAAGAGCATCTTGAGCCTTAGTCTGACCATCTGTACCAAGAGCCACATGATCAACATCACTAATTTACTTATTTCATTAGTAGTCTCGAAATGGTATAGAATCTGAAATATTTATTATACACTTTATGTCATAATGCTGCTGTTTTTTAAGCTGTCAAAATATTAAAACTTTGTTTATTTCCAGACTTAAATTATATTGAGTCCCAATTTTGCATGTAGTCTTTAGCAGTATGTTTCAAGTGAATTTCATCAGGATGTTTCCTTACTGAAACACAGTATCTGACCCATCACGACTGTGCCAGGCAAGCACCCATCCCCTTCGCCCTTGTGCTTCAGGACCTCTTATGGTCATGAGTCCTGACCTAATGAGTTGAAGCGAGCCATTCGGAGCGTCCTGGCCAACTTCTGCTGTATTTCCAGTGTAACACCACTCAATTTACAAACAACAAACGGATCTCCGCCCCCTCATCAGTCATGCTGCTCTCCGCCAGCGGGGGCCCAATGAGCACAAACCATCCAAAAGGAACCTAAACAAAAGTGGCACAATGGGCGGCCTGCAGAGCCGAGCCGCAGCAGTTAGGACGTTTCCCTCGCCCCTCCACCCCAGCCCGACCGTGTCCGTTTCACCACAGCTTTATCATGCTAATAGAATTGAGTCTGCAAATACAAAAAGACTTAATTTGTGATTATCTTTCAGCCACACTGTCTTGTGTTTGTTTGTGTGCCAGAGTGTGCTCTCGTGGCCCGGCAGGCCTCACCCACAGTATCTTATTACATTTTTCCTTCTCTTCTTTCTTGTCCTCAATAAAAGAGCAGCAATTAGGCGTCTAATTTCTCAGAAAAGGAGGGAGCTAGGACCGTTCCGACATCAAAAGTTTAGAAAAAGCTTGTCCTTGTCCTCGGCAGAGAGGTGAGTCTACGGCTCTCGTCCGAAACAGTGCTGAACCAGTCCAGATGTGTTCCTACTTTAAAAAAGGCTTGTTGTGACTTACTGTAGGATAAGCAAGTCTGCAGGATTTTTTGGAGCTATATAAGTCTTTAAGTTAAGCTCGGTAAGTTTTAGAGGTTATTGTAAGCTCCAGTTTCAGGGACACATTAGGAACTCGCACGAATGCCGGCACTCATTATCCAAACCAACGCATAATCCACAGGCTTTTATGTACAGCTCCTTTTCTTGTATACTGCGAGATTAAGAGTACAATTATCCGGGCTTAGGTCCAGCAACATCCACAAACAGATCGCCTGACCTTATTCAATCTCTTAACCTTCTGCACTGCTACTAATACCCAGCCTAAGAGCACAAGTCCTGTCCTTTAAAGAATTAACTGCGCCATTATTTTGCGTAATCTCGCCCACGTCTACAACACAAAGATCCTGAAAGCAAGTTGGACAGCATGGGGCATGTTTACGATGCCTGAAACCGTATATCGCTCAGTAGTTAAAATAATAACATAATGTCTCTTATCCATTGCACGGCCTGCAAAAGATAGAGGGATGTATATAGATGGAAGTCAATCCCTGTTCTCTGAAATGGTTAGTGTATGGATTAAGAGGTCTGGTTGAATGGGGAAGGATCTCACCGAAGCCAGGGCTTTTCCCAGCGCGTCTCCAGTCTGAGAGCTTCCAGTGGTGTTCCCTCGGTTGGCAGCAGCTACACAAAGACCACACAGAGATACGGCATTCACATCGGAACAGAGCTAACAGAGATATTAGTGTCATGTATTTTTTATTGGCGAGTAGCAGCTGGTGTTAGGTGTGTCGAACTTAAAAAGTGTTGAAATAAATAAGTGATTTTCCCTCAATAAACTCCTAATTTGCTGCTTATTAATAGTTAGTAAGCTAGTTGTTAAGTTTAGACACTGGGTAGGAATAAGGGATGTAGAATATGGTCATGCAGAAGTACTAATAAACAGTCAATATGCTAGTAATATGCATGCTAATAAGCAACTAGTTAATAGTGAGAATTGGTCCTTAAAATAAAATGTTACCAAAAATATTAATGAATTTTGTATAAATTGTATTTTGTACATTTGAACTTTTAATTTTTATTCTGTTCAAAACATTTTTAATGTTTTTGAAAGAAGTCGCTTACGCTCACCAAATCTGGATTTATTTGATTAAGAATACAGTAATAACAACAATATTGCTAAATATTACTACAATTTAAAATAACTGTTTACTGTTTTAATATTCAAATATAATTTATTTCTGTGATGGCAAAGCTGAATTTTCAGCAGACATTACTCCAGTTTTCAGTGTCACATGATCCTTCAGAAATCATTCTAATATGATGATTTAGTGCTCATTTCTTATTACTATCAAAGTTGTGCTGCTTAATATTTTTTAACTGTGATGCATTTTTTCAGAATTCTCTGATAAATAGAAAGTTTAAAAGAACAGCATTTACTTGAAATAGAAATCTTGTATAACACTGGAAAATGTCTTTACTATCACTTTTGATCAATTTAATTCATCCTTGCTAAATTAAAGTCTTAATTTCTTTCATAAAAAAAAGAAAACTTGCTGACCCCAAACCTTTGAAATCAGCATTTGATTTAGGCACATCATTCATGCTGCACGCTTACTGGCTCACTGACGTTGATGAGATTAACCCCGTAGGTATTGAAATTTGGTAGTGAATGACAAGACAATTTTCGATTCTCGCATGATACTGGCATCGAGGCAATTCGGTCAGTGCCTAAAAAGTATCAAACTCGATACCCAGCCCTACTAATAAATCAAGAACAACACTACAAATGTGATGTGTGCAGTCAACATACCCATAACTCCCTCTGCGGTGTTGACTGGTGGGGTGTGAGATGCAGCGACGAAGGGTGAGGTGCTGGCACTGCCGCGGTGGAAGCTGGACATGGGTGGCAGGCTAGCGTTGATGTCTGTGGGCGACACCGAGTGCGGTGGGTAGTTCTGTGACAGAGAAATGGAGGAGGAACTTTTTTAGTTTTATGTATGGCTATAAAACAACATTTGTATTTGATCTGATCCCACTGCTTCTCACCAGGCGGTCGTGTGAGTGCAGGTTACTGTAGTTTCCAGACTGTGGCATGTGAGATGAAGATCCTCCCAGCATTCCCCCATAGCCTGGCTGGCTGATCCCACTGGACGAGTTCCACAGGTCAGAGGAATTGTGGGTCCCATCTGATTAAGTGACAAGGAAGTAAATTTGAACAATAAAAACACGGCAAATATCTTCATTGTCTAGCTTTTAAAGTAAGTTACTTTGTAAATGTTGGTGAGAAAGGTTTAAATTGTGAACGAGACAAAGGTGACATTAATGTGATCAATAATGCTGATAAACAAGAAAAAACACAACACAGTTTGATACGTGAGCCAAAGTCTGACCCCCACACTCCTTATTCTGGATACAGGATGTCAAATAGACTCTCTTTAAGTCTGCTTTTACACTTGAGTTGGAGCCAAATCCTAAGCGCAGCTGAGATAACATTCAGCCAGCCGCAGCTAGTGTTGCTTTCGTCAACGAAAATTATGACTAAATATCGTCGTCAACGAACCTTTATCACGTGACGAAAACGAGACGAGACGCAACGTAAATGCTGGTCATGTGACGATGACTATAATTAAATGTATAATGCAATATTGTTGACGAATAAAAATGAGACTAAATTTGGTTTACAAAATGCTAAATATGCTAAAATGTCTCTTAATTTTCGCTGACCAAAACGAGATGAAACGAAATGTTATAATGTTATTTTGTCTCGTTTAGTCGCGTTATTATTATTATTTTGCAGTATTTCTGTTTCCTGTGTCTCACTTCAGGGGTTGCAAAAGACTAGACTAAAACTAAAATTAAAACAGGCCGCCAAAAACAACACTAGCCGCAGCTCACTTGCTTCCGCTTCAACTTTTAAAGGAGAAATTTCTCACAGCCTGAAACACGTGGCTTGAACTGGCCATATAATTTTTAACACTCCAGATTGGGAACGCTGGAATACGCATGGTTGGTTTACTATCTATGTCTGTGAAGTCAGTAGCATTATAGGCAGTGAGTGAAAACGTAAAGAGAAGGCTTGCCAATTGTGTAAAAAAAAGGTTCAAAGTGTGAGTTAGGGGAAGGAACATACCAGGAACCGTATGTTCAGGGTTTGAAAATGTTTATATAACTAAATTAGACTGGAAGAAGATTCGACTTGAGAATTGTGTTGCCAAAAAAATTTAATTAGCATGATGAATCAAACGTTTAAGACCTGTTCATTAACTCTTTCTAGGATGCATCTCTGTTACATTCTAGAAAATATTCAACATTTATTTAATTTTTTAGTAGGGGTTAATTTAGTGTTTGGCCTGAATACTCTACGCAAGTACATGAATGCAAATGCATCTAGCTATGAAAGCTCAATATTATGTTTTATGCAATATGTCAGACCACATTGCAATGCTATATTGTGCATATCATCTAGTCGTTTTCTCTTTCTGGTCCCCTGCATCTGAATAAAGGCCCCGATATACTTCAAGCGAAATCGAAGAAATAACTGATGTGGCGTCATTTCGAACAAAATCTGGCCAAAATGAAGTTCGTTTTGGGAGTTCGAAACGGCTTGACAAAGCGAACTTTCCAGAAAAGTTTGTTGCGGCTGCAACACCTTCGTACTACCATTGGTCCATGACGATTTCGTCATAGGAGGTGTGCCTATGGTGTGCTCCGCCTTCTTTCACGTGGAACTCTTCTCTGGGTTCATTTCGTCTGTCGAGTCTTTGGAGGTGAGATGTCCGCGCAGTGGAGAGCCGCTTTATAGAAGCAAATTAAGTTTAGCTTCTGATGAAATTAGACACTGACACTGTTTTCATGTTTAATACTGCTGCTTGCTTTTAAGCTATGTATTGAATAAAGTGCCATGTAAATACACGTGACGCGACTTCACGTGAGCGCTAATTTGCAGAGCTTGTGCAAGCATATCCATGTTGCTATGAACAGATGCTTTTTATAAACAAAAATGCTTGCTCTTTTCTCCAATTTTTATGTTTATTTTGTTACTGAGACGAAAGCGTGCAGCACATATTTACATATTCATATAAACGTTACTTTCATCAGAGTGGGCAATGTCGGGATGTTCGCTAACAGTATATATATATATCGCTGCTCATGTATTTCGAACTTCGTTTTACCCCTAAACGAAGAACGAAAAAGAACTTGGTTTTGAGTATATCAGGGACTTAAGCATACTTCCCTACTGTATAGTAGGAGAAAAACAGTATGTGAGAGTAGCATGCCTAAATTGCATGAAACAATAGGCGCAAAAGTATTTGGATGACCTACTTTTTCTGGCAAAATTCTGATGTGGACACTTTATTATCCCATGAAGCCACGGGAGAGGAGTTGTGAATAGCAGTGATGTGATGCAACTGTCACCATAGGTAATATGACAAAGTCAGCATGGCAGATGTTGTACATTCAGATTTCATTCATACTATACACATTCATACTATATAGAATGTCCTTTTAAATGATTGCAAAGTTTGTTCCTCATTAAATGTAGTACCTAATCTGACTCAATATGCGATTTCAAACGGATTGTTTAATTACTGTCATTATGGTGCAACAGTTTGTTAGCAAGTTCAAATCAATATATACCTCAAAGATAACACAACTAGTTCAACAGCAAACATATCTGAAGATATATCTATCACCCTCTTTAGTACTGGATTTATTACCGCCACACTAATGCAAGAACGCATGCGATATGCATGTTCAGTACAACAAAACCATGCGCTTGCAATGCTGTAGCCAAGCATTCATGTCTGCACTTGCATATTTGTATAAATGCATCTTATGCACCTTAAAAAATAAAAAAAGACTTCCTTTAGAAAGTCAAAACTAAGAGAATGGTAAAGTAACAAAAAAGGACATGAAATTATGACTGACCGAAGAAAGTGCTTCCAAACATACTGCTGGGGGGTTTGGGGGACGGGTAGGATGGAGAGTCTCTGTTGAAGTCATCTGAGCTGGGAGATGGTGCATACACCTGCAAAAAGAAAAACAAAATCAGACATTACGACTGAGAACAACTGCTTACAGACAGGTGTGAGGGAACGTAGGCTGCTGTTTTTGTCATTTCTATAAAATAAGAGCGACCATTGTACAAACCTGCTCATGTCATTAAGCGTATCCTCATACCCTCGGTCTAATTCACACATACCAAGAAACCTGACTGCGTACACAAACAATGCATTGTAACGCATATGGCCAATTTACAAATTCTTTGATGTAACAGATGGCTAATTTAGAAGTCTTATTAAAAAAAAGGAGGATTATCTGCAGCGTAGTGTGCGCTTCAGCGCTTAATTGTAATATAATGAAGACGACATGCATGCCCGCCGAACAAAAGCATCAAAACAAATGGATTAATATGCGAGGCCGAGAGCGTTAGGGTGCGTATGCGTTTGTGTTTATGCAAGAGTATTTTAGGAACTGTGGGGTTGGATCGGGTCGGGCCAACGGAGCAGTGGTTACAGCTGCAGAAGTGCCCATTCCAGTAGAGGAGGATCAAAGGCATGAGGCTACAGCCCAGTAATGTGGCTCTCTCAGTTCATCTGCTCCAGATGGGACAAAACCTCTCAGAGGGAGAGCGACGACACTAGCATGTATGGCATGAAAGAGAATGCTAGGTAAACATGTTAAAGAGAGTCTCGCTCATTATCTGTCATTAACGAGACAGACTCACTTGGGCCCTCACTTTCAGGTGTCTGTGTCACCTGCCGTTTAAATTCCACCCTGTGAGGACCTGACTGCACCGTCATGTCTGTAAGAACCAATCCCTGTAACGAAGAGCAGATGTGCAGCCCAATGTGTTTCAAGTTACTTTAAGTTAAACACAACCTCTCCCTCTGATCAACATCATAGCAACTTTTATTCTTTAAATAAAATCAAACCACATGATAAAATATTAACTCTCTGTGAGAAACACTAGATGTTTGATACGAGGCAAACCATCAAGTGAATAGAAGGTTAGAAATAAATATAGAAATATATGCCCTGACAATAACTGTATACATCATAAAATCTTGAATTTGTTTGATTATTTTTAATCATTAATTTATTAAGTCAATTACTTACCCCAAATCAAATCAGACAAATCAGTGTGACTAATCTTTTATGATGATCAGCATCTGACAGATAATAAAGAATATCTGTGTGCCAAATTACATAATACACAATAAAATCTGAAATTTGTTTGATTTATTTGCAATAATTAATTATTTATTATAAATGCATAGTTAATCACACTGTAGTGAAATACTGAGCAGAACAACAGAACTGTAAAATAAAATGTACATTAAATAAAAAAAATTGCAACAATACATTACCCTCATTACGAATGAGAAATTAATATACAATGCATTGGCAAGTATTGCAGTAATTATAATCAAATATGCATTGCATCTAATTTCCAATGTCAGATCCTCCTGCTCATTAATATTTCAGATCTATGCAGATCCCCTTCATCACACACACACAAACACATGGCTGCAACATGTCATGACACACTCTGCATTATGATCAACATCTAAAGCCTTTCAGTCAGCTTAGCCAGCTGTGTGCGGCTGGGCACCTTGCTGAGGCGGCAGTACGTGCCCATGTGATGGCAGTGAGTGTGTTCATAAGCTGCGGCGGGCTCCCGTGGGTGTGCAGACGCACATATGTGACCCCGGCACTGGAAGTCCCCTGGTGATATCAGGTTAGGGCGGCGTGGGAGAGGGGCCTTTGTATCCGCCTCATGGCTCAATGGGCAGCATATGGCAGCGGATAATGCTAATTGTCCGCTTTACCCCGAGCTAACCAGTCGACCCGTTAATAAACCTTCCTAAACACCGGCGCTGCTCTCCACCACCAGGATAGAGAATGAAAGAAAGCGAGAGAGAAAGAGCAAAGGAAACGCTTCCTTTGACCAGGGCTTTAATTAGCTGTCAGTTATTCACGACCCTCTGATCTAAACACCCACGTTTAAAAGATTTTTTCCCTTCATTGTCCTTTTTAAAAAAAATTGTTTTTTTAAATATTAAACTGTGAAAAGACATTAGTTCATAGAGGTGTATATTAAGAGCTCCCCAATACATTTCTAAGACTTTTCCAGTCATTTGCGATAAGAATTTTTAGAGACTGCAATCACAAAAAGCAATTTATAGCCACTTAAATATTTTAAAGGGGTCATATGATGCGATTTCAAGTTTTCCTTTCTCTTTGAAGTGTTACAAGCTCTTGGTGTACAAAGAAGATCTGTAAAGTCGCGAAGACTAAAGTCTCAAATCCAAAGAGATATTCTTTATAAAAGTTAAGAGTCAACCACGCCTACCTAAAACGGCTCGTTCTAACACGCCCCCACATGTCTACGTCACTATGTGGAAATATTAGCATAATGTCGCCCAAATGTGCACGCAAAGAAAGAAGGCGTGGTTTCAGGAACAGCAGTAATGTTGATGCAGCCATGTCAGGGAGACTTTGTGTGATTCAGTGCGAAAGCAAAAGCACTTTATTTGGCCTTCCGGAAGTAGATCAATTAGGAATCATTGGTTAAGATTTATTTACAACAGAACAGCACAACCCAGATGTTCGAATTTGTGCAACGCATTTTATGGACGACATTTTTTTGAACCTAGAAGAGTACAAGGCTGGCTGTGCACAAAGGCTATTTCAAAAAAAATAAAAAGGTCAATTCCGACTTTGCTGTGACAATCTGGCTCTTCTGAATCAGCGATGTAAGTATGTTTTGTTATTAAAGTATTTGCTATTGGCTGTTCAAATGCGGAGTTTTGCGCAGCGCAGAGTAACGCATCGTGTGTGTGTGTGTGAGAGGGGAACAGGGTCACATCACAGGAGAGTGAAC